TACCATGTAACAAAATAAGGTAGTGTAATGAAATAAATATATATTTTTTAATTCTAAATTAATTTCATCCTGATATGTTACTTTACCAGATTAGCCTCTGCCAAAAGAAATACCTTCTTAGATGTAATTGCTCAAATAGTCAATGGTTTCTAATAGTGCTCTACGCTATCTTAATGGGTAGTTATTTGGTTCTTGAGAAACACAGACCACAAAGAGGAGTAGATTTATGGTGCAATAGGCATTGATTTACTGTATCCATTTAATGAAAGACTCTATTCGTTACACGTGTCAGGTTTTTATTTTTATTTTATTATTGCATCTTGTCTGTTAACCTTTTCAGTGCCAAATGGATGAGCAGAGCGCAATTACTATTGCTTTGTTACTGAAAGAAATAACAAACCAGTAGCATTTGAGGTTACTGTTAATTATCAATCCTGTAAGGATGCGCAAATGATAATTCCCCAGCTGACAAAGCATCACGGAGTTGTTCAGCAGTTGAGGATCTATCCTTTCTGCATTAGTTCCGTCACTGTATATCAATTTTCCTACTTTTACCTTTACAATCACATTTTATCTGCCTCCTTTGGATGCTTTATAGTGATAACTCCCATCAATAGTGCTTGCAAAGCAACATGGGAGCAGGGCCGGACTGGGGATACAAAGCAGCCATGGAAAAAAAATCTATGGCAGCCCCATAAGTCATTGCGCCACACATTGTCGCATGTAATATGCAAGGCTATGTCTTGCCACCCCAGATGATTGAGTAATATATATATATTACATATATTGAGTAATTGAGTAATATATGTATATTTTGCTTTTTCTAATATAAAATATTGGTCCTTTCAAAGTAAAATGTTCAATTATACAGTAAGCATACTCACATGCAGACACAGAAAATCTCACTGACCTAGAAATACAAGGTCACTCACTAACAGACACACACACACACACACACATGCAAGCAAGCTCATTTACTAGCAGGCACGCACACACACACACACACCCAGCTATGTGTAGTGCTTCTGGTGTCTATAGCCTGTCCCTTTGTCAATGTAAACAGAGAAAAGGCAGTGTTTACATTGCTTCCTAGTGACACCTCTAGTGACAGTCACTCAGACAGTCACTAGAGGTGCTTCCTGTGTCAGTGCAGCACCTACATTCAGGGCCTCCACGCTCTGGAGGCGCTGAACATTCCCCAAAGAGATACATTGATTCAATGCATCTCTATGAGGAAATTCTGATTGGTGTAACGTTTTGCAGCCAATCCTATGGCAAAGCATTGATTTGGCAGAGATCATCAAGCTTGATGATCTCAGCCATAGAGGCAGGGCCAGGCGAGGGGAGACCAGCACAACATGGGAAAAAAAAAGTGAGTAAAAACACTATATTTTTAAAACACACACACAGACACACACATACACCATGACAGACACACACCATGACAGACACACACCATGACAAACACACATACCATGACTGACGCACCTACACACACATGTTGACAGACACACGCACACCTTGACAGACACATGCATACCATGACAGATACACACACACACACACACACACACCATGACACAGACACACATACCATGACACAGACACACATACCTTGACACACACACACACCATGACACAGACACACACACCATGACACAGACACACACATTACATGACACACACACACCATGACACAGACAGACACACACCATGACACAGACAGACACACACACACACACCATGACAGACACACATAATTGCTAGTGCTACCTGTGCACAGGCAGCTGTCTGTGCTGGATGTCCGCAGGGGGAGCTCTCAACTTTGCTGGCGGCCGCAGGGGGAATTCCCGGCCGCGGTCTCATTAAGCTGCGCACGAGGGCGGGGGAGCAGAGAGAGAACAGCCAGCTCCCCTTGCGCCCGTCAGCAAAACTGAAGGTTCCACTGCGGCCGCCTGCACAGACAGCTGTCTGCCTGGCCCCAGGTGCCGACAGCCCACCGGGAAATTCCCCGGTATCCCGGTGGGCCAGTCTGGCCCTGCATGGGAGTTGTAGTTCAGAAACACCTGGGGATTTACTTCCTTGACCTTCTCTAAAAAAATTGAGCTAATTTTCATAAATAACTTAATTTTGTATCTGTATGATCAGGCCAAATGCAGGGTTTGGTAATGTGATTATTTAGCTAAAGCAAAGAGCGCACGGATTTTGTAGGCCTCTTCTGCATTTTGACTCAAATGAAAACAATAAGTGTCATAGAAATAGTTATGTGTCATGCAGATACTGGCAATGAGAGCGCCATTCTTAGCTATTGTGGGGGTGTAGTGCTAATGTCAAGAGGTTTGTCGATCATTGTCTCTATTCCTATTTGACAAATGCACTTAGCATGCCAAGATCATAAGATATTCTTTTGCATTCAAACAACAGAGGACCAGTTCATGAAGTCATGTAAGAACAATATAATGCAATGTGAAGTGTCCATCATTGGAGAGTTTTTCAAGATGTATCCAATTGCAGAATTCCAATGTTAATGTTTTGTTGAGAACTCGTAGTTGACCTGATCTGGGAAAAGTGATCCAAAACAGCATGCTCCCAAATTGACATTTTTGCATAGGTCCTGCAACACATGAACATATCAGACCTGATTAATACAAATCAGGGCTTATTTACCAAGAAAAAACAACTTTTGTCTGATTGAACTCTTAGGATTTGCATGTCCTCCACCTGGGGTGGCTTTTATTTGGGCTTTTTGTGTATATTGAGAGGTCTTTACCTTATAGTCACCATTTTTGTATGTTTTGTATATAGATCAAACCAAAGTCAGACTCGTATGGAGCTTGCTCTGCAAAATCTGTACTGCACTGATTATTTTTGCCCCATTCAATAGGGGGCCATTCGGACTTTAGTAAATTGACTCCCTAGTTAATATTTTAATATTTTGTCCATGAACACAGTGTGTGTGTGTGTGGGGATCAGGGGGGGGAAGGTTAACTGAAGAGCCAGCATTTTAAAATAACCGTGCTAGCTAGAATGCTCTTCAAAGAACTACAAGCGATGCGGCATGACATAAGATAGTCTTACAGAGTTGAATCATACTTGCCAACACTTCAATTCTATGACAAGCAAAAACATCACTGATGAACTTTTAACTCCAAGGACATCCTTATTTTTATGCTACTGCGATTTTCACCCCAGATGTATTATACCAGTGGCCTATCCAAAAAGCACATTACATATCAGAAGATGTGGTCTGCTTTCATACTTTGCTAGCAAGCTCCATAATAAAATGCAATTCCTTTCAAAAGAAAGAAATAATTACTTCTAAGCCTCTTTATATACACCTTTATTGGAGGATTAAATATGGATCTCTTTCCCTAGTGTGGCCAAAAATCTCTTTTAATTGTTACAGTTTAACAGTTCTGTGAATTTATTAAAAGGCATCGCTACTTCACATGGTTTTATTAACCATAATTCTCTCCTAAAACCTCTTAAAAACATACTGTATCTGATGCTTATCAAATGGATTATTTTCAAAATATTCAATTTTTGCGGGATATAGGACAATATACAATAAAAAAAGGCTTAATTTAAAGTCAATTTAGGACATTCAAATCAAACCTAACTTTATTTTATGTGCCCTTAAATATACAGAGATAGGATAAAAGGATAAGGTCAGTTTTACATTAACTATTAACAATGAACATTTTCATTTGCTAATTGGCTAATATTATGGGACTGTAAAGTAAGCTCGAAATCTACACAAATCCAGTATCACTCTCTGATTTTAATGCTCAGTAACAAATGGTATACACCATCAACCAGGCATGAAAGTCTGCATTGTAAAAGTATATTCAAAAGATTCATAAGAACACTCAACAATAAGGAATAACTCATCTCACTGTGCTGCACCCTCACCAGCCCCAGCCATGGCAGAGCACTGTTGAAGCACGGTCCTGACAACATTCATCACGGTGCAAGTGTGTCTAACGATGCATTGCATTGCACTTCCTGGGGACATTTCCCTAGTGTTCCTGGAAGAGGAACATCAGGGAACCAACCTTGGATAGTGGGATATGAGCCCAAACCTGGGATGGCACTACCAGGTCCAATTCTTCTGGAAAGTTAGCAAATGCATCACTGCGTTAACACACACGCTCACCATGAGTCAAAAGAAAAATGTTGTTCATGTGCTTTTAAGGTAGCGATAAAGTATATAGGTCTGTATGTCTGTGACCGTTACTTTTATAAAAAGCTTTTGCATGATGGATAAGTGAAATAAATAAGTGCCCTGTGGTTGTTCTTGTAAGCGTTAATAACATGAAAAACCAAAAACATTTCATTTTGTTCCCCTTAGATTTATTTTATAATTAATGAACACACTAATGTATGGGAGTGATGTATTTGTGAATAGAGAACTGATGCTCCCAGACCACCAGCCTGTCTGAGTTCACAGAGGTCTTCACGCTACCTAATAGAACCAAAAGTCCCTCTTGTAGCCTTTCAGATGTTTTCATTCACATCTTTAGTGCCAATAAAAGATGGGGGAAGCTTTTCATCCAGACAGTGAAACTGAAAACTAGATATATGTCTCAGAGATACTTAGAACAGATTTCCCTTGCAGCATTCGGAGACATAAACAGGCACTATTGGTGGTCTTAAAACAATAGATTAAATACTGCACCAGTAAACGAAATGACAATTCGGGATCAATATAAAAAACACAAACAACATAACATAGTGCAAAATGTATATATATAATGATAGACCCCATATGTAGAGTAAAACTCACAGGATTTATAATATGCAGGAGGGTACCTAAAAAGGCTAAAACGATATCCTTGAGGAGAGCAGCACAGGATACAAAGTGCAGAATCCAAAATTTATTGAACAAATAAACAATTAAAACACGGACAATAAGCAGTGTATAAATAGTAAAATATACTAGGCACAAAGCCTAAATAAAACACCGCAGAGTAAATAAGAAAAAGTCCCAGATACAATACTTTGGTCTAGCAGCAAACGCATTTCAACTCCAGCTGACTCAGTCAGGAAGACTCCAGCTGGAGTTGAAACGCGTTTGCTGCTAGACCAACGTATTGTATCTGGGACTTTTTCCTATTTACTCTGTGGTGTTTTATTTAGGCGTTGTGCCTAGTATATTTTACTATTTATACACTGCTTATTGTCCGTGTTTTAATTGTTTATTTGTTCAATACATTTTGGATTCTGCACTTTGTATCCTGTGCTGCTGTCCTCAAGGATATCGTTTTAGCTTTTTTAGGCACCCTCCTGCATATTATATAGAGCCTGGGATGGCTATAAATCCTGTGAGTTTTACTCTACATAAGGGGTCTATCATTATACATATACATTTACTTCCACTGGCAATTTTAAAGTTCCAGTACTCCAAGAAATCCTAGGTGGGGATCATACCACCGGCGCCTATCCATAGAGCAGTACCTCTGCTCTATCTTTGTGAGTATTATTTTATTTTCTCTACTACTCTCTTAACCTATCACAATTGAGAGCACTATTGCTGCTTTTTATTCTTCTATATTGGAGCCTTGGATCACCAGACGGTGCTGACGGACGTATCGCCGCTACATATCCTATAAGCGGGGATTATACCGCTGTACGCTATCCACACCAGAGCTGGCCATAGCTCCCTCAAATGTGAGTTTTTTACCTCTTCTTATCTGCACATTGAACCACATCAAAATTGAGAGCACTATTGTTGCTTTCTGTCTTTCTTTTCCGAGTTCTGGACTACCAGACGGTGTTGACGGAGACCCCCTCCCTACATATCCCATAAGCGGGGATTATACCGCTGTACGCAATCCACACCAGAGCTGGCCATAGCTCTCTTGAATGTGAGTTCTTTACTTTTTGTTACCTATCACACCCTGAACTTTCATACTATACCATTAGTCGCCTCTACCTCTCTTGTATTTACATATACGGAACGGTCTACACCAGACGCATCCACAGAGGAACTCTATCAAGTATCCTAGACCATCTATTGGCACCCTAGCAATACTTTACTGAACTATCTACCCTTATTTGGCGCAGCCCTTCCATATCTTTTTGTCTCTTTATTACAGGCCTACTACATCATCGGTTTCGGCACACCACAACCGACTGTTCATATTTTCTATGTTATCATAAGGTATAAGTTATATTAGTTATATACTGTCATTACGGCTTTCTATGCCCTGAACACAAATAAATATATATATTTATTTTCACTTGGCCCACACTCTGTTGTTATGTCCCTTATATATGGCATTGTTTTTTTCGGCTGAGGTTAGTGTGTTAGGTTTAGAGTTTGGGTTAGGGCCATGGTTGAAGTTAGACTAAGTATTAGGAAATAAGGTTAGTGCTAGGGGTAGTGTGTAGAGATTCTGTGTGTAACATACATCATAGTCACATCAGTGAAAGGGGACATTCCAGGCACCATAAAAATGTATGCTCATTTCTCAGGTCATGGTTCAAAATTGTGTATGACCTGTACACACTCCATGTAAATACACTATTCAACTCTCCATTTATTTTCACAAGGTCTAAGACATACTGAGTTATGTGACTGCATGCGTGTGCACATGGACACTTGGGCACATGCTGTGTAAAGCCTCATTTACAACATTGTGATATTGACAGAGAAGGTAGTGGACTCATGGAATAGCCTTCCAGCTGAAGTGGTACAGGTTAACACAGTAAAGGAGTTTAAGCATGCATGGGATAGGCATAAGGCTATCCTAACTATAAGATAAGGCTAGGGACTAATGAAAGTATTTAGAAAATTGGGCAGGCTAGATGGGCCGAATCGTTCTTATCTGCCGTCACATTCTATGTTTCTATATTTCTATATTAGCTACTGCATTGTTACTATCACTTACTGCATAACCCTTATATACTGCAGTGTGAAAATAAGATAGTATATTTGTCTATATCTTCCTATAGTTGTATGCAGCATGAGTATATAAACATTAAATAAGACGTAAGTTTAAAAAAAGCCGCTGCATAATTCACACATATTTGTTTCCATTATTATACTGAACCACTTGATATCTGTTTACTTGTATCACTATTCATTTTAATCAGATGTGCATTTATTTTTAGTAAAAAAAAATAAGCGCTTTAATTTGAAACATTCAAGCAAAAGGGTAAACTATTGCACATAACGATATACAATTTTAGTATACCTGTTCTCATTGAATTTTTATCTTAAATAAAAATGCGCACTGTATAATGACATAAAGGTTTTTAAGCCTGGTTCGAAAATGGTGATATAATAAACAGAGTCAATCTAGTTATTACCAATCAGAATTTTATAGAAGCAATAGATTTTTATTTTACTATTGCTTCAAGCAAGAGTTTGTAGGAGGCTTCATTGCAAAAATAATAAAGGATCCCATGATAATTTAAAAAGCAGTTTACAAATGCTGCATCTGTATTGGTTTTCCAATCGATCTGTCCCCATCTCAGGGTTATCAATAAAAACTTAGGATGTGTGTAAAATGCTTCAATTTAGTTTCATGCACTCGTGCTTTCTTATTCCAATATATCATTGTCTCTTAATGTCTTAAACTTTTTTTCATGTGGTCCATTCTAAAACAAATGTGCTGTATAAGTAATTTTAATGCAGCACTGGTATTGTTTTGTAGAGTCTAGCAGTTTCTGTAGTTCATCGTCTCACTCCAGTATTTGATCTTCCTTGCGTTTGATCAATCCAGCTGTAGAATTTTAGCATTTGATCTCAAAATAGTGAATGAAGATTAAAGTAAAGAAGAAAAATATAAAAAGATGAATTTTCAAGCCACTGAGGAGCATCATTTTTAGGCATTCTAGTATCTGTATGAATTCACTGGTCACAATGCATTCTAAATTAATATCGCATCTCTATCAATGACTTCCAAGACTAATTGATGCAATACCTTGGTGCAAACATATTTCTGGGCTTGAGCCTTGAGTGCACGTTTTTTCATATCTGCCCTAGACACATGATGACTCATGATCCTTAGCGGATGCAAGAGTAATTGGTAATAATGGTGATAGACACTCTGTCCCAAGGGTGGTCACATGAAGTTAAGAAGAACTGGTTAGAAGAAAAAGGATTAAACTGAAAATAGATTGAAATAAGCAATAATTTGTGCAAATGTAGCTCAGGATAAAACTTTGCAGAGAAACTGATTTAGAATAGAGACTTGCCAATGACAGGCAGCAGTCAAGGCAAATCAGTATAGTAGGCAGCTATTGTAGTATTGCTAGAACCTCTTGATTGGCAGTAAAGCAAAATAATGGCTTTCTAAAGGTAAGTTAGTTAGAGTTTATACAAGCATATCAATGTGAGTTGGGCAGCATCAAAGTAGAGTGTATGCATTAGACTTATGCACTACAAGAACGTTTGTTTCAGCCAAAGCATTTATTTCTGTAAATAAAAATTTCTTTGGGATGACTTCATTTTGGTCGTATGTTGATTTGGCAGGATTTCGGTAACAAAAAACTGGTTTGGGAAATTAATTAGATGAACCCAAATGGTGCGAAAATGGGTCAATCAATGTACTTCAAAATATATACATAATATAAATATACATTGTTTGGAGCATTTTCTCGATAGTTAGTTCACAGATCAAGTGAGAAAATTAACCAACAGAGGGATAATCTATTGCTCACTTTTCACTTTATCTGTGAGCAAATCAACATAAAATCTTTTGCTCACTTCTCACTTGATCTGTGAATAAAAGTATTATTTAGTAACTCCACCCCAGCCAACCATCATCTTTTCTCCTATTAATCATCTCTTTTTTCATGTGACATAGGTAGAATTCAGAATCATAAATCAAAACGACACCCTCGGCCATCACGCGTTCTGTTTGTTTGGTGGTTTGGCTACTAAATCTGGATGAATTGCAGTTTGGAAGAAAACTAATCTACAAGTCCAGTATGCATTTACAGCTTATATAGTGTATACGCAGTATGCTAACTTAAAAGGCATGTGTAGATAGTGAGTGTTCTTTCCATGCAAGCACCTGGGTAGTTAAATAGGGGACCTATCCAAAATGGGTATGGGTCCCTTGTTTTGGTACCAGAGATTTAGCAAAACAATGAAAATGGCAGATTATTTAAAGGTAACTTTGTATGGCAAGCTTTTTAACACAACAACAAATACAACTAGAAAAGCTACAATTTCTGGGGAAATTGTGTGAAGTGTTCTTGCCTCCACCAGTAGTTTACAACTTTAGTGAGCAGATTAACTGGGTGGAGTGGCTGTGGTGTGGTTGGAGTGGCTGGAGTAACTGTGGAAAGGTTGGAGTGTGGTTCACTCACTCTACAGCAGGGGCAGAGCTTTCAAATCTTTCAAATACCTCGAACATTCCACCAACTGCCAACAGGAACTAAAAGATTTCAAATAGGGCAGAGATGAGCGGCTAAAAACAAACTGCTCCAAATTGCTCACTGCACTGGCGGTTGCCATCTTCAAACGGTCGTATTTTAAAAACTATAAATCCTACAGCGAAGAGCTTTATATTGTGAGAATCAAAAGACCCAGGCCTACATTTTTCAATGAATGTCAATGGACGGCATGAGTTGCAAACAAATGGTCAAATTGTGAAAACTATTAGGACTACGGCTTAGCCGTGGACATGTTTAGTGGCAGCAGGGATAGCTGAATGTTTTTTATATAAGATTTGTGTAGGTGGGCTTGAAAATGAGGGAGTTGTGGCAGTTTAGAAATCATGTCCTGATTTTTCAGCTTTTGCCAGCTCCCACTCTAGTTTTGAACATTTTGCCATTCATCCCTATGGGACCAATTTCGCCACAAGAACGACGATATTCTGTGAACCATTTGATGAAACGTTCCACAAAGTAATAGCAATCCGATCGGGAACAATCTGCACGTTTCGGTATATTACTGTCTATGTAGTGTAAACAACTGTGGGAGGAGTTAGGGGGGTAAATTTGGCTATATTAATAATAAGAATATATATATGAGATAATATTAAGTGCTCTTGCTATGCAAGAACACTTAATAAACTGTAGTTTTTATGGTATTTTGAGTGTCCTTTTCAATAGTACAACATTTGATAAATCTA